GTTATAGTGATAACAAAATTTACATTAAAAGATATAGAATTGAAAATATACTGTTGATCTTATATTCTTTGCGAATTATCTAGATATGTCAGTTCACAAATGCGAAGTGAGCTACAGATGCTATTAAGATACTTCGTTGGCGACGATGCGTGATCTAGTCGCTATGAATCAGCTAACATTTAGATTTAGAAGGTTTCGTCGCGTGGTCGGTGATCTTATAAGCACTAGCTGGAAGGTTATCTCATTATATCTTATCCGTTGTTTTCAACGGACAAGCTTAGCAACATCAAAAGAGCTTAAATTGCACGCAAGCTTACGAACAATAACATGCTTTGCATGCGCGAAACATACAACTCTCGAGAAAGGAGGTTATCAGTATCTAGTATTTTCGATCGATTGATCATAAATACATGACGAACAAGAACCAATCGATAAGATTAATCAATTAAACGTAATGTTACATGGGACAGACGCGATAGTAAAATCTCAGCGAACATTAATCCGAGAACTTGGATGACTGGAGTGAACCGAACAGCTCGTTAGTAAGAGGAAAATAATAAAAAGATGTGGAAGAGCAGGAGGGGAAATATGAGAAGGGATAAAGACTTCGAAAGAGCCGGTCGCTTATCTGTAAAGACCGACATCCGCCGGATCAGCCCCAGATACCGAAACCACCCACACTTTCCTTCTGGTGCACAGCACGCTTAGGCTAAGTTCCGAGGACGGAAACAGCCAACTTCCAGGGATTGCGAATTCCGCCACATGCCGCACAGCTGGGTTTAGATATCCCGGTGGCACAATTCATTTCTTTGGACACGCAAACTGCAAATTGGCTTTTTCGACCGTGGACACTGATCGGCCGCAATGAACAGGCGCAGGTCAGCCCAGAAGAATAGTATTATTCGGACGATTTAAACGTGGCTTCGTAACCTGATTCGATTTCGAGAGATTAAGTCGAGTCGTCTTGGATTACCGAGTCATCAAGACACAGAAGAAACCTTAAGACTAACGGTCCCTGCGATGCACTGAGTTTGCGCTTCAGTCGAGGTATTTCAGATGGAGATGTCAGACAAGCGATAATTTTCTTATATCCTTTAACAACTTATATCTTTTATCTCGATAAGCACGAGTGCAACTCTGTTTATTAAAGTAGCTGATGTATGTATATAGACTGTTAGAAATGCTTAAAGTTTTTATGATATTTTTAACTACATGTAACGTTACGTAAATTATTTATAGATTTTTAAATATACTCATTTCACACCTCACGAGAGTAAAATCAAGCATTTGAATCGAATTATGACTCTTCTTTCTCTCTAATTTAAACACTTAAATTTAATTTGAGTGTTAAATATCTAAATAAAAAATTTAAATTCGCCTCCCCCGTTTTAAGTCTCCAAGAAATTAAATTCATTTTGTTCTCCCTCTCCTTCGTCGCTCTACTTAATCGTATCCGAGTATACTGATATAGCTGCGGAACGTCACTGTCGATGAATCTAAATGGCGTGTACTTTTCCCGTCAATGATTTAGAAAGATCCTCGGTAATCTCGGAACGCACTGGTAATCATCTCGCGCACAGAAAACGAGGGTCGTGAAGAGACGCGGAAAGAAATATTCGGCGATGATTCTTTGGCCGCACCCCCTTCAAATCGCGTTTTCCGTGCCGAACGCGGCCATTATCGCGGCGGTGCGGAGTGTGCGATAGCAGGGTGTCGAAAAATATGTTCCAACTTTTTATCTTGTATCTGCACCACCGCCTCGGTGCAGAACTGAGCGTTCTGTTAATTTGCAAAGTTGTGACTCCCATAATCACTCTACGAGTCCGATGCGTTTGGCCACAAAAGCGGATTTTAAAGCGGAAGGAAAAAGACAAAATATTAGGAAGCTTTATTCTTTAATTTTGTAAACTATTTTTTTTTTTTTAGTATATAATATTTCTTAAATATATTTTTTAATATCTTTGATGGAGAATTTTAATAATTGTTACATATCTATTTATAATTTCTTTTACTGTCTAACTTAATTTTTTTAGTTTGTTGTATGCTTAACTTTAATGGAATTTATCATTTTATAATCCCATATTTCCAAATATTGTCGATAATTTGTAATTTTGAATACATATTATCATAAAAGAGAATATATCAAGTTAGTGATAAATAGATGTTACTGTGGCAAGACTTAACAATACGAGAAATCGCTAACGCAAGACGAAGCCGTCGTGATGAAAAAGAGCCATCGAGAGAAACTGGTTTCACTTCTTCAAGGGTTGCCCTTCGGATGAATCTTATCTTTCGACGAGAGCTGTCAAAGACGAAACGGCATGACGCTTCCGTCGTGCGGGAAGATAACCGGAAGCCCGATAGGTTCTGCACCAGAAATGAGAAATGTCTTTGCGGTTGCAGAGATTAAAGATTTCGCGGATGAGTAGTTGCCACCTCTTACATTTCTTTTTTCGCATTCCTTACGATAAATTTTTAACGTGTTTTTTGTTGTGAGTGTAAAAATTAATAAAACAATTAAGAAATGCACTTTGAATTTTATTTGATTATTATTAATATATTATATAAAAGTTATATATTTTTATAATCAGTCTCTCGATTTTATTCCTAAATAAATATGGAAGTTCAATTAATTCTCCCCACAGTGAGTACTTCAGTTTATGAAAGAACGATCTTAAATTGTATAATAAATAAGTGGACACTTTTGTGATCAAACAACGAGTGTATCGCAGAGTTATGTCAAGACAACGCGTCGGTAATAAACAGAGCGAGTAATACGATGTCTCTGCGATTAAATCCTGCGGCGTAAAAGCCCACCTTAAACCAGCTGATCCCGGTACAAAGACGATGCAAGGACGGGGGGCGCCTTAATGAAAACTATACGTCCCTAGATTAAGGTGGACGTTGGTCAGCCTTCGGACCCGCCAGATACGACCTGTCTTATGCAACGTAGGGAATGGGTTCTATGATGTCCGGCGTATTAGATGGAAGTTTCGGCCATTAATACCTAATATCATGCCGCCGGCAGTAAATCCTTTGTTGGTCATCTTTGACGGGGACTTAACGCCTTGCCAAGAGACATTCGACCTATCTATCAATTCGGATACAATCCATATTGCACTTTGATTAGCTTATCATGTTCGTAAGAAGTATAATTTCAATATCATTTTACTCTTATAAATAAATTTGTAGGAAAAATTTAATCTATTATTCTATTATAGAAATATTAAACTATTATAATTGCTTCTATGAATTTCAAGTTGAATGAACTTTTTCCAAACGAGAATGAAATTATTATTTTTTACCGCAATAAAACTTGAAACTTTAGCATTTTGGATACTTAATAATATTTATCATAATTAAATGTTAAACTAAATTATCATCATTTTGTTGTATAGCTGATTTTGCACTCGTCACAGATAATCGTGCTGCAAAAATATCGTACTGAATAATGTTTACGTCAATTTTTATTTATTTGATTAATGTGATTGCTCACTGGCTTTTAATTGTAATCTTGACTCCTTTTGGATTCAAAAACCCACTTGATCTTACAACTAATGTGAGAAATACACCCATTACATTCTAATTTGGAGCTTGAGAAAATAATCACACACTTATCATGTATAATTAATTAAATTTACTCCTTGGTAATGGCTCAGAATGAAGTCGAAACGTTTAGATTCTAGAATGACTTAAAGAAAAACACAATAAATAATTAATTTGCTCCAATTACTGCGCTTGACTTTCATTGCCGTTTATTGTTTCTTATTTCTAAACTAAATTTCTATTAAAGTTACAAAATATACACTGTTAAAGTATCTGTTTGTAGTTAAATTTATATTTCTTTAATCATTGTGTCGTCATTTTTTCAATATCTTTATTATAGATGCACATTTTATGTAGACACACTTGACGTCGACTATTGATATCATAATAAAAATATACTTCTGCATTCCGAACAATGCGGGATATATGAGTATATCAGTAAACAGCAAGTTCAATAATCTCGTTGAGAATTTGGTGATTCCCTTTAACGGATAAATACAGGCACCATACAACCAGTGGAATTGTGCGGGCGGAATTTTCCCCTCTTCCTTCCCTCCTCTACAGTCTTTCTTTTACCATCCCTCTCCCTTCCTTCTCGCACTCCATTTCCTCGGTTTCGCAGAAGTCTGGGATTATGACCTGGAGTGGGATAGACTCTCGGACTTAAGTCAGGGTTACACAAGGATCGCAGCTATTGTGCCATCGCACAGGTCCCATTGTCTCGGGATAGACGAGTGGATCTGCATATGCTTAGCACCGGAGTTAAACTTCTCTCTCTCTCTTCCTTTTGCGCTTCGCGTAACTCTCTCTTTCTCTCTCAGCGATCTTCAATGCGCGCACCGCGAATCATCCTACCCCTCGAATTTGGATGCCGAAACGCCGAAGACTATACCTATTGTCAGCCGGATGTACAGAAACTAATGCTTCAACTGAAGCTACGAGATGATTTGAGGCACTCTCGTGGAGTTCTTCACGAAGCCTTCGTGGAAATATCTCTCTCACTCTCTTTAGCTTTCGAATTAAATTAATCAGATTTACTACAACAAATTTTCGAGAAATCGTTGAATAATTTATACGTGATGATTTAAAGATAAAACAGTAAGTTTCAGAGAAAAAGTAGGGATTTTCGTGAAAGAAATTTGTAATCGAAATTGATAAAAAAGTTAAGCAATTACATGGTAGAAATTAAAGATTTTCTTAATTAAAAACCGATGTAATTGTATGAAAAATTACACATCTTGTACTTAGTTGAAATTCCAAAGACGATTATGGAATTTGTTACGAATTTTTAATGAAAACTTTTATCCGTTATATACAATTAAATTACAAGTCGTAAAATGACGCAATTGTTAACTAATTTGTTACCCATAGTAAATTCGTTACTCTATTGTTATCCATAATGAGAACGGATTGTCGAGTACGTTACTTCATGCAAACACTTTTGTCTGTCGCAGCGAAAAATCTACCGGTGCATTGTGTGGTGGAGACGATTCACAATATTGTGGAAAGCCATGTGAGCAACAGCCGTGAAAAATGGCGAAGTCCCCAAGTGGAGACGGACTCTTACGTTATTATTCCGGCAGCTATGCCCTTTCAGGTAAGAATAATTTTCTTTTATTATATATATTTTTACTATCTATAAAATATATTTTAGATACATTACTTTAAATACGAAGCGCCACTACGCTCTGAATGTTGAATTATTATATATATTCATTTAAATGAATTAATTTCAGAAATTATAATTGCGTGCCGATACGATTGTCGGATTTTCAATCAATATATTTTATATATTTAATGAAATTTACTATTTTTACTATTTAAAATAAAATAAAATAACAAACGTCAAAATAAATTTAAAAGAAAAGAGATTAAAGCCTTCTCTAAGAACGGGATGCATTATTTTCATATGCATTATTTTCGAATAAAAAAGTTTAAGAAAGTAGAAAATTTCTTTGACTAAAATTATTATAAGTATCTAGATATAAAAATATATCTTGATAGCAGCTTTGTTTTTTGTTGACAGGATTTGGTGGGCGAGGCACTTGTTCGTCTGGGATACTCCAGCGATCTGATACCAAGTGCTAGAGGGAGCATCGTTATACGTAACTGGAAGCCTTTGCCGATGGAGAAAGTTGCCGATGGACCACTACTGACAGTAGGAGATATTTTGGCCGAATTGACATCGGTGGCGACCCTGAAGATTCAGGTGTACAGATCCAGGCCGCCACCTCCCAGTCCGGCAGCTGAAGTTAGAAATAAATTGCTGAGGTTGCTCTTGTTGCACAGCCACACGCTTCTCGTCTCCGCCGGGTGCCCTTTGGACGAGGTAAGGTATCTCGAGAGTTTTTAGGTGTCAAAATTTATCAACTAATACTTGGAAAAAGGAATGCTATACCATAGTGCTATATCATATTTAATAAGCACTTTCTTATTATATAATGTGTGTGTGTGTGTGTCAAACGTTTATAATGAATATAATAGCGAGACGTACTTATATTCAAACAAAACTTATAAGTTTATTCTGAATATTGCACACGGAAAGAACACTTTCGCTGGAAGATTTAAAATTTTATTGGATATAGATCTGAAAATAATTTAGTTGGACCGTCAAAAATAATTTTGATGGAAATTTAAACTGGTTGTTAGAATATCAAAATTTTTACCATTGCTTATCATTGTTTTAATTTTAAATATAATTATTTTGATAGTCTAACAAAGATCTGTATCTTCAGATCTGTATCCAGTAAAATTTTAGATCCTTCAACAAAATAGTTCCTATCTTTCGCATCTGGCGTATTATGCCTTCTTCATTTTCGATCATATCTCAGTACTAGTAAAAATAAGTACGAAAAAAAAGATCAAGAAAAAGAAACAAAAAAAATATATATATATATGTATCTGTATTGTACGTTTATTTAAAGAACGAGGTTAAATAATGACGCGGTATATCGAGAAAATTTAAGGGCTATTCAAGGCGAGATCGGAGCAAGGAATATAGTAGTAAGGCAACCGCTTAAAAATGTATAAAATGTAAATCTAGCCAAAGAGTGTTTGTCGTCGGGGCACTTAATCTCATTAAGAAGTCCTCCGGCTCGGTACTCTTGTACCTCCCGTAAGAACGGCAAGTGGTAATCTTCGGTAAATTCTTGCTCGCGGCTCGCTGATCCTCACCTTGAATAAATGCTTTCTTGGTTTCGAATCACTAGTCGAGAGAAGTCACCGCGCTTTTGGTAGCTTTCATTCCCGCGCGAATCGAAACGTTCGAATAATGAAGTTTTCTCGAATTCCATCTTACTCTGGAATATTCATCTTACTCTGAAATATTTTACTTCGTAATGTTCACTATTTTAATCACGCAAATTTTTAGTTAATTTTTAATCACGCAAATTTTTAATTGATTTATCTCTTTCCTAAAGAAGTAAAAATAGATTTCTCTGAAACTACATCTTAATCAAGATCTTAATGAAACAGACAACGGCAATTAACTTCTTAAAGAATTTTATCACAATGTCAATATTTCGCTGACGATTTAACAATTTTGCATAAATGATATTTTACAAATTGTATTAACGTTGAACTAGTGACTCTCACTCAATCTTTCTTTCCAGCGACAAAACTGATTAAAGTAATCCCGACTATTCCAACTAACTATGTGAAAATTCTTTTCGCAATGACTTCTCGGGGAAGTTTATCCCGGTCGCGCGATTCTCTCCCTGAAGACTTCGTTCCCCGAAGATTGAAATAGACGCGCGATTTTTCGGGTTGGTCCACACGCGCAAACGTGCCCTTCCGACAGCGGAAGATCTCGTAGCGTGTGATAGGATTACCCTTTACTCAACCAAATTCGCAGCCTTCATCAAAAGCCCCTCGATATCGGTATCGGGGGAAAGAGGAGAAGTACCCTGCCTCCTCCGAGCCGGCATTATCTAAGTGCACTCTCTTTGAAGATCCCGCTACCCGCCCATCCCCGAACTTTAATGCCGCTCACGGTGGTCTATGATTACCAATTTTCTCTGGCAAACGTTTCCTGCTTGAGTTTCGTAGCCCGACGGCTAATGGCGAACCGCTGTGATGGAGAACCAACGTCTCTCGCATAGATTTGGCTTAATCTGACGATGATGCACGAAGACGTGCTGCCAAGCATCTCCCTTCCTCGCTTCCTTTTACATACGATATTCCTCGACAATGGCATCTTTTTCGGAAGATTCGAAATTATTCCATTTCTCGCGCTTATGTATGATCATTTTGAAGAAATTTGAAGGTTCAGAGATTTTTCGTTAGTTACGAATTTTTTTTGCAAATGTAAGGGAACTTTCTTTTCTCTCAAAGAGAAAATTGAATTGAGAGGAAAACGCTTTTATTATATTATCTGGAAAAACACTTTTATTAATTTTTTATATTATTAGGTGTTGGAATTAATTCGTAGCGTTTTTTAATGAAAGAATGTTATTTATTTCACATGAGCATTAAAAAATACATTAATGAAAGTACTTCCCATCACTTGTAAAACGCTACGAATTAATTCCAACACCTAATAAATTTTAAGTAAAATAGAAATAAATTCAAATTAAATGCTTATTAATAAAGCTATAGTAAATGACAAAAAATTTATTATTTTCTGCGTTTCGTAAATTTAATTTGCTTTTATCTTGATGCAACAATATTTATCATGAGATTGGTACCAGTTATCTCTGATATCCGTGATTCAGATGAAGTGCACAATTTGTGGCATTCGGATATATCAAAATTGCTTTCGTTACAGAGTGATTAGAATTTTAAACATGCAAAGTCATACAAACGGAGAGCATTAAAGTATGATTTTTGAGACGTACTTGGTGCTCGTATTTCTTTCAGGATAATGGAAAGTTTCGGAAAGGTAATAAATACTTTTCAAGGAGCGTGAAATTTGCATTAATTGGAATCGGCAAACATAAATCATCAGTGTCAACGCGATTTCAAACAATAAAAAGCAACAAAATCTGTTTTGAATCCTATTTAGTTTGAAATGTAGAACAGTGATGTTAACAGACGTCGGTCTGATATCAGGATTAGGGCTCAACTATATTTATAGCGTGGCAGCGGCATTTATGATTTATTTACTATATATTTTCACAAAATTCTTTTACGTACATCCCAAAATCTGGTTTACATTTTTATAAATATATATGCACATATATATTTACGTAAAAAGAAAGATTACTAGCTTTAATAGAGATTTGTTGATTGTAGCATCCTTCTTTAACAAAATAAAATTCGTGATAAAGAATTATGTAAGAATGGCGATAAATATAGCAGCATATCTTTATAAAAGTTTAATAAAAAAAAATTAGTTACGGACAATTTTTATATATAATAGTTAAGATATAGGAAAACTGGTTACTTTATTATTACAAATTTCTTTCAAAACATCGGAATTATGGACGTACAAAACATATTGATAATTGTGATATTTTCAAAGATGATATGCGAAAGTCATAGCGATAATTCTTGATATACGCGTCATGAATTTCACGAACTTACTGCAATTTCGCGGATTGTTTGATCTCTGGATCTCATGACCGCGATTGATTTACCACCGTTCTATGGATCAGCCGATTACTGTGCACAATTGCTCTTAAATAATAAATACGTGTAAATCAGGCTTTCAAATCGCGGTGCAATGTTGTCAGATAAGCCGGCCGTCCCGCTTTCGACGGCGTACCACTGTTTGCTGAACGATTTCTGAAATCTTGAGAACGCCTGTCAAGACTCGCGCCTCACCTGCCTACCTGGAGTGATTAAGTGCGGTGTCGTAAAACTGAGGCGGATGAGAATTCGAGGAGGTGACTAGCGAGAAGCCGCTGGCGGCCGGATAATTGTCGTCTTGGTAGTATCTGACGCTACCAAGGTGCCAGGGATACGACGGATTACCGCGTTATTAAAGTGGCGTCAAGCGCCTGATCTTCCAGCCCGAAGATATATTTGTTCTTATAAATCATCGGCCAGATAAGATGCGCGTACCGCTTCCTGAGCGAAATTTTCCGTAATCTGTCATCTTAATGCCATGACGACGATGATTCTGAACGACGTCACTTTGTAACGCTTGTTTACAACCAGCCGCGTTAACAAGAAAAGCTAAAGAGAAATCGATTATCGAAAGAATTTGAATTCACGTAATAAATTTGTCTTGGTAATTTGGTTTCGATTTCGGTATCTCTTACTCATCTTGTCTCTTACTTATCTCAAAAAAAAACAATGTAATGTGATACGAAGGATTGCAATGCGCTTACGATTACGTACTTAAAAGTCTTTTTAATAAAAAATTTTTAATATTATCTATAATATTATACATAGAAAAACGAAGAAAACAAAAATGTTTTAACAGTCATTACATTAATTATAATTATTAATTAATCTTTTACAAGATTTGTTATTCACATTAGCGATCGTAATAGAGAGTTGCTCTCTGTGTTAAAGATCCGGATTTAAATCCACCCAAAACATATATGTACATATACATATATAAAATTTTATTTTATTGACCTTTCGGAAGGTATGGCAAACTAAAAGTACATGTCATGATAATGTCTTTTAAGAAAAGCATTCGGAATCGGCGTTAAAAAACTAGGAGTTCCATGTATCAGTGGGTATACACAGAAGAGGTCACGTCTGTGACAAGAGATTATTTGCAATTAAACACCATTAAATAAAAGCTAATACAATAGTAAAGTCTTTGAAAAAAGATCATGTTTTCTTCTTGCAGATGACTCTGCTATCCCTCTGTCGAGGCGGCAACGACCTGTCAGAAGAGACAAAGAGAAATTTTGAAACGTGGCTGCAGCAACAACAGATAGGTCTCGGTATAAATCCAATAGCACCAACTTCCAATCACCATCATCACACGCAAAGTCCACAGCCCGATAGCGGTGGCACGATCGCTCCCGGCGGCGGTCCGATCGGACCACCGCATCCGGCACTTCTTCAGTATTCGCACAAGACCAGGATGAGGACCAGCTTCGACTCGGAGCTCGAATTGCCGCGTCTCCAGCGTTGGTTTGCTGAGAATCAACATCCGTCACGCGAACAAATACAGCACTATGTCGCGGAATTGAACTCTCTAGAGTCGCGTCGCGGCAGGAAACCACTGGACGCGAATAATGTCGTGTACTGGTTCAAGAACGCCAGGGCAGCGCAGAAGAGAGCCAGCATGAATGGCTGCAGTCCACCTGGACTTAGCCCGAGGGGCGCCAGCATCGTTAGCGAGGACTGCACGGACGAAGAGGAGGACACTAGGCATCAGGTACATTCCGTTTTGTGAAAGAATTGAAAATTGTAATATTAAATTAATATTAGGAAGCACCGAAGATTAAACATTACATTCAAAAGAAATCTTTATAATAATTTTCCTTGAAATCTTTTCGAAAGAAACATCAAATGGCAAATAGTAAAAAATAAAAATTGCGATTTTCGGAAATTTCTACATAAGATCCTTGAGTGATATTTGATGGATCCTAAAATTCAAAAGAGATGAGATTCTTAATCGCTGCTTTCAGTCGACATCGGGGTCACCCTGTCCACCGAGTAGTCCACCTGTCGGTCCACTGTCCTTGACTACAAGACCCGAGGATCAGCAACAACCGCCGACATCTACTCCAGCCTCGGTAAAGCAAGAGGACGCGAGGGTTTCCTCTGGTTCCGAGGACGACGAAACCAGGCATACGGGCCCCATTCCGCCAGGATTTTCCTTGGTACCCAGCCCCATGTTCGGTCACGGTATAATGTACATGTCGCATTATCTGCCGCCGCGCGGACCTGCCGGTTGTCCCACCAGCATGCTAGCCGACGAGAGAAGGAAGAGGAACCGGACGTTTATCGATCCCGTGACGGAAGTGCCGAGATTAGAGTATTGGTTCAAGCGGAGCACTCATCCAAGCCACGCGGTATGTATAAATCGATCGTACATGTATGTCGCTATCGCACTAATTTGTCCCTCATTCGATGGCGATATTAGCATGTTATGAGAAATTTCTATGGATTATGATAACATATTTGTAGATATAATTACACTTGGAACAAAATATTTCAGTCATAATTCAAATTTTATTCATTCCAAATGTTTCCTACATCAAAACATTTATGCACGGAAGCGCATTCTATTTTATATTGGTAAATTTCATGAATTAGTAAGGAATGATATATTTAGTTGACATTTAAACTTCCTTGCTTAGAATGTTTTTAAATAACTTTATTAAAAACTTGGTCTATCTCGAGACGATATCACTTGTGTAATGTCAAAGGCGAGAAGTGCAATAAATGAATTGCTACGCATAGCTTTATTTGTTATTTTCCTTTAAAAATATAATAAGTTCGTAATTGTGAAATCTGTAAAATATGCGACAAAAAAACAATCATTCTATTCGATATGTCACGTAGAAATATAAAATAATTCCTGAATTTCAAAAATATTGGTACATCTTTTTCAGTTGTCAAATACCGCCGTTGAACAGATATCTCAGTTTGCCGCATATTTCACAGATTTCAGAATTACGAAATTATTATGTTTTTAAAGGAAAAAAGATAAAGCTATTCGTAACAATTAATTTATTGCATGTCATTTCTCGTCTTTAACGTCATACAATTAATATGGCGCCTCAAGATAGCTGAAGCCTAAAAGTTGCTATGAGAAGTTTTTAATTTGCACTCTTTTCACGGAAAATTCGCTGAAAAAAAATGATTTTACGATCGGTCCATAGCTCATTCTGTCGTACACGGAGGAGCTGAACAAGATGCCCTATCGCCAGAAGTTTCCACGTCTGGAGCCGAAGAACGTGCAATTCTGGTTCAAGAACCGCAGGGCCAAGAATAAGCGGCTGAAGATGGCTCTGTTCGAGGGCGAGTCGCCGCAACAGCATCCATATCACGCCGACTAGTTAATTTCCTTAAATAATATTGACTAGAGAAGCGCGAGAGAGAGGCTTGGCCTTTGCAGCACGGAAATAAATGGAAACCGTTAACCGACTTGTTACTCCTTACTATCGTTGACACGCGGTTTTAAACGTTTACCGGCCGCACATTCATTGTAATTATCACGTAACAATTAATATAATTATTATGGACTTTCATGAGTGTAAATACGAGGTGATGTCAAATAAAAAGTATACGTCACGACAAAGCAATATTATTAAGTATCTGCCCTCTGCGCCAAGTACAAATTAATTGGCTCAACGTAATATAAAAATATAGTATTTTCAGACGATTAATATTTATGATTAATTTATGTATTGATTATTGATGACTTCAATATACAGGCAATATTGGAAGAATAAAAATAAATATGGATCGTCTACGAACCTATGAATATTATATTAATTTATTATATTATATAATTTATTATAATTTT